CTTGCATCAGAGACAAAGGTCAATTTATTCCTCACAGCAATACTGTAGCTAAAGTATCAGCATTTGCACCATGTCCCCAAACTGCAGTTCTTAAGGGTGATGTCAAGAAGGTACCTGCAACCATTGGTTGTATTACAGAGAGAAACCTCAAGCATAGAGAACTCAGATCTTTTATAATGGGCAATAAGCATGCCTGCCCGGTGCCTCAGAGGGAGACATTTCCTTTATCATACCAGACAGTAAACAAACCTGCCCCTTTGCTTTAGAGGGAGACACATCTCTGTCTTCCAAGGCTCTTTACTAAACAACTGTCATTGAACAGATAGCCTGGAACAAAGGTAGCCAGGGCCTCTATTCATAAGATATGGAGAAACGCAAAAAACATGAACTGTCTCCCAATCATGTAAACAATTAGTGAAATGATTTTAAAATGTAAATCTCTATATGAGCTTGTTATTGTTCTGTCAATACTCTCATTTTTTTTTTTTTTTTTTTTTTTAATAAATGCTTCTCTTATTTTTTTTTTTATTTTTTTTTTAAAGATTTTATTTTTTTCCTTTTTCTCCCCAAAGCCCCCCGGTACATAGTTGTGTATTCTTCGTTGTGGGTTCCTCTAGCTGTGGCATGTGGGACGCTGCCTCAGCGTGGTTTGATGAGCAGTGCCATGTCCGCGCCCAGGATTCGAACCAACGAAACACTGGGCCGCCTGCAGCGGAGCGCGCAAACGTAACCACTCGGCCACGGGGCCAGCCCCTCAATACTCTCATTTTTAACACACTTATTGAGGTATAACTGACAAACAAAAAACTGCACATATTTAAAGTATAAATTTTTCTAAGTTTTGGCATACATCTATACCCATGAAATCATGAGCACAATCAACTTAATGAACACAGCCACCACTCTCAAAAGCTTCTTTGTGTCCCTTTTATTTTTAATTGTTCGCTTTATTAAATATCAGATGATTTTTACTAAAAGCAGATGAAATTAGTCGAATTATCAACTTCTCCTTTGACGTGGGAATTATACTTCTACCAGATAAGGCATGATAAGTGATTCTTGGTAGGGGACGTAAGTCTGTGCTTCAGGGCATAGTCTGAGCTGAATGGTTGCACTAAAAGAAATTAAGAAAGTATTCCATCATTATTCTCAATGTCAGGTGGATAAGACATTTAGAATATTTATGAGTTTCACTTTAGTCAACAGAGATTATCACTTTGCTATTTTACCCCAAAACATGACCTTCATGTAATATTTAGATAATCACTGAAATAGAAAGCATTGATTTTCTTTCAAGGAATTTCCTGTCTACTTTCTTCTTTAGAGTTCATCCCTTTAAAGAAAAAATTGTCCCATTATATTCTTCTAGTAAAAGAAGATAAATAGTCTATTCATCTTTTAAAGAAAGATATCTTTTCTCTGTGTTTGAGTTTTCTGAAGTAAAGATTTTCATAGTCTTTGGAATATTGAAATAAATTATATGGAACATTATAAGTACATGTCAAATTAACATAATATGAAACCATAGATAAACAAAATAAAATTACTATATATGTGGTTTATCATGTATAAATCAAGTATCACTTTACTTAATTAGTAAAGAACTAACAGGCTCCAGCTTGCATCATTCAACATGAAGTATAGCAGACCTTACGAGAAATGGATGCCTAAAATTTATTTGAGCTATAATTTTATTTGCAATGACCCTTGGAATGAATTCCTATTCAGGAGAAAAATTTCAATTGTAATATATAAACATGTTCAATTGGATGACCCAATGGAAATCAGCAGAATTATAATAAGTAAAGAGCACATAATTAATACGGTAATATTTCATGTCTGCTTTTAAGATGTAAAGTACACAGCAAATAAAAGCTATTTTTTACATTCATATTTATCATAGGGTTAATATTTTTGTTGATATTTATGAACTTTTAAAACCAGGTGATTTTAAAAACGTTTTATCACGCTCTTTTAGTACACCCTAAAAGCTAGAGATATATTCTAGGAACTTAGACCTCACTGGAACTTGAAATGTACCATAAAAATGCATTATAAAAGAAATACTAGTACATTTTCACACAGTGGCCTGAAAGATGTTTAGAAACACAGGAAATAAATGATAAATGATTCTGTCTTAAGCAAGGACAGTTTGATAGGGAAAACTGAAAGATTTTCTGAAATCAAAATAATTTTTCAAGATGTTAGATAAATACCACTACCAAGAAAGTGTTAGAGTACATTTTATTAGCTGTAGAAAATTCAACAAAATTTCCATGTTTGAAAACTAGCAATATGCAAGTAGGCATGGAGGAGGGTATTGGGGGATGACCAAAATCTACCCAAAACACTCTGAGGTTTTGAGCCTCTGCTAGTCACATCTTTTTCCTCTCTTCCTTTGACGCATCTTATTCAATTAAGAGCGGTACATGTTAATTAAACACTGTGAGGAATTACTCGGTGCAATTTGTGTCATTACTTACTCTGCACCTATCTATGATCTTCCTGAGTCTGCTCACAGATTAAATTCTTCTGTCATCTCCATTACCATCATTCTTCTACTTACAAGTGAGTTATTCTCAGGAAAGACTGAGAATCCAGTTCCCCGCCCTCTTAAATTATTTTTCCCACCCAACCTAAGTCCCACAGTTTGATCCTTAGACTAGGACTCAACATAGAGCACAGAACCAGAGAAATCCTTCTTTGAAAAAATATATCTACAGATACATTTTCCCGCCTGTGTCCTAAGTATGAATTCTGAAAGCAAACAGGAAAAAGGGCATTGTGGCAGGAGGATTGGATTTGTGCTTGAACAGAATTTGACTCAAATACTTGCTTCCACCATTTTTTAATGTATACAGTAAATTATTTAACTTCTCTGGGCATAATATTTGTCCACTGTAAAACAGAGATAATTTTACCTGCCCCACATGGTTCTTGTGAGAACTAAATTAGAAAATGCAAGTTATGAGCCTTCTTCAGAGTAAGTTTCAAATAAATATTAGTTTTTAACCAAAAGTTAAATCAGTTTCATTGATCATTGATTATTGTCTGTGTTTGGCATATTTTAGTATTTTATAAGGTTTTTTTCCTTACTCTGAGGTCTATTTTTCTCTGGCACTCAAATTTTATACAATTGCAAGGGTGGTGTTTCTAAAGCATAAATCTCCACCACATTCAAAACCCTTTAGTTGCTTTCCACCTCCATCTGGCCTCTACCTTTCTAACCTTATTTCCCAGCTCCCACCCCACACACATACTGGGGTCCAGACAAGCCAGACTACAAGCAATTCCCTGAAAAAGCCTTCCTCTTTCTCTCCTCCGTACCCTGACACGGTGTCACTCCTTTCCAGACTGCCTCTTCTGATCTCTCTCTTTTCCACTTGAACCACTCTTACCCATCCCTCAAGGCTCAGCTCAACGACCCCACCTTAGGGAGCCTTCCGGGACCTCTGCAGATGGCAGTACTCCCATAGCACTAAATTCAGACCACCATTACTGGCCTCTCTAGTCAAATTATTTCATGTGTCTCCTCCCACGCTTGGTTGTGATCCTCTATGGGGGCAAAAGCTGTTGATTTCTTTGTTACCCTAGTATCTGAAATATATTTGGTATTCAACAAATGAAGAGTGAGTGGATGGAAGGATTGGATTCTCTTGGTATCATGAGCAATTAAACCCATAATTGATGCCCATATCCACACACAGAAGTTGATGCCTGACAAATTTTCCTCTTTTGTACTCACACGGATCAAGGCACAGTTTTCAGAGAACGTTTATTCAAGGGCAAATGCATTACATTCAAGGAAAAATGTATTAATCCACTATCATATTTGCACAGATCTGTTTAACCATCGAGTAAATCTTAGAACAGGATTCTGGGGGTTTGGAACAGATCTTTTTACGGGGGAGATGTTGCCACAGGAAGAATCTAAAGCGCCCACTGCTGCTGAGGGAGAGAAAAAGATTGGTGTGGACAATAACAGGGGATGTTCTCAGTAGGTTATAACTGATTCATTGTAAAAGCATAAAAGGCAAGAGAGGATAGCTGAGCAAGACCAGTGTAGTCAGCAACTTGGCATGGACCATACCTACATTCACAAGGGCACAGAGCCTCCCCTGGGAAGACAAACTATTATAACACTAGTAACATCAAATTTGTTAAGAAAATAAATGCACTGAAAAAAAAATCATTTGAAAGCTATAAATATAAATTATGTTTTGGATTTCCATGCTATTGCTTTCCATATGCACTGTGACTAGCTCAGAGCTGGTATAGAACATATCACATATCACATGAAAAGCTAAGTAACTCACCAAGCCCTAAGTAACCTGTCAGGTACTGTTTCACTGTCCCATTACTGAGAATACATATTTTAAGAAAAAAGAGGGGAAAACAGTTGCCTCCATTTGTAAAAAGAAATTTCTTAAAAAGAAAACACTGCATGACAAAGAGTCTATTTTACATTAAACCAGTGTTATTTATCTTCATTGCTCATGGTGAGAGCTGGGTCAAGACAAAGGGACGGAGACCAACAAGACCCAATGGCCTCACTGGCAGAGATATATGAGCATGCTGCCCCGCAGGGCTCAGGGAGGGAGGCTGGGAGGTTAAGTCCGAGGCCAGGGCACAAGGAGAGTCATGGAGAGGAGCAGACCCAGACAAACGGTAAGGAATTACAGCACTCCCACAGCCGTACTTGAGGAAAATCGCTTTACAGTGGAGCACAAACATATTTCTCTCAGAGTATGAGTTTCTTTCTCACCATTGTTTTGAAATTACCTTCTGTGAGTAAAATGTGTGACTCTCAGCTTTAAAATATTCCTCCCAAGAGCACTTATGAAAAATGTAATGGTTTGGATGCTGAGGTAGATTGTGTAACTATTCACAAAAATGGACTGCCTTTCCCCTGGTGGGATTAAACATCCTCACCCCACTGCATGCAGGAGTACCGTGCATGCTCTGGCCAATGAAATGTGGGACGCGACATATAGCACTTCAAGCAGAAGCTTTCAGAGCAAAGCATGCTTTGCCATTCTATCATTTCCTGCTTCCACAACAATTGGTAATTTTTAAGAGAAAAGCTTCTCCGTTAGTCTGGAACCTGGAGTGAAGATGACATGGAACAGAATTGCACTCAACCCACAATGGACGTGCAGCAGCAACAAAATACAAGCTTTTTCTTTTTCTTTAAGACGCTGAAATTTGGAGGGTGTGTTACCACCAAATAACCTAGTTCACTCTGACTAATAGAGATGCATTTCTCAGACTGGAATGTGGTCAGCGAAGCAGAAGACTTCTTGGTTTATAGCTTTGTGATACTCTACACCGAGTATCCTATATGGGTGGCTGCACCACCAGGAAATAGAATTATTAAGAATAGAGGGATACGCACTGTGTTTCTTAAACCACTAGGGTTCCTAAAACTAAAGCAGCCATCTAATTAAATTAAAGGTGATCAGCTTAAAAACAGGTGGTATTCCAAACCATAGGTCAGTATGCTTCTTAAAAAGGAACCGTATTATAAACGGAAATTAGAATCCTGTGTCAGCACTTTAGTACTTAGTCCCTGAAAGTTAATATTATTTCAGTTATCTTATACACTTAAAAGACGGGAGGTGTATAATTTGTAACACTGCTTATCAAGGAGATAAATTAGAAATTACCATTTGAAAGCCAGAATATCAAACACACACCTCCCCAGTATCGCATGCTTGTTAACAGGGAGATTTTATTTGGTGTTCTTTCTTTCCTTTTGCTAATTTTGGTTTAGTTTGTTCTTCCTTTTCTAATTCCTTAAGGTTAAAGTTAGGTTCTATCTTGACATTTTTCTTTTTTTTCTTGACGTAGGCATTTATTGCTATAAAATTCCTTCTTAGAACTGCTTTTTTTTCATCCTATATGTTTTGGTATAGCGCGTTTCCATTTTCATTTGTCTCAAGATACTTTTTTATTTACCCTTTGGTTTCTTTTCTTTATCTATTTGTTGTTGAGAAACATGTTTTCTAATTTCCACGTATTTGTGAATTTTTCAGTTTTCTTCCTGTTACTGATTTCTAATTTCATACTATTGTGATTGGAAAAGATACTTGACATGATTTCAAGCTTCTTAAATTTGTTAAGACTTGTTTTGTGACCTGACATGTGACCTATCCCAGAGAATGTTCTCTGTGCACTTGAGAAGAATGTATTTTCTGCTGCTGTTGGAAGAAACGTTCCTTATATTCTGTTAAGTCCATTTGGTCTAAAGTACAGGTTAAGTCCAATGTTTTCGTATTGATTTTCTGTCTGAATGATCTATTCCTTGTCGAAAGTGGAGTACTGAAGTCCCCTGCTATTGCTGCATTGACGTCTAGCCATGGCTTCAGATCTATGAATATTTGCTTAACACACCTCGGTGCTTCAATGTTGCATGCATACATATTTAGAATACATATTTAGAATTTTTATATCCTTTTTGATGAATTGATCCCTTTATCACTATATAATGACCTTCTTTGTCTCTTGTTCAGCTTTTCAACTCAAAGTCTATTTTGTCTGATAGACGTGTAGCTACCCTTGCTCTCCTTTGGTTTCCTTCTGCATGGGATCTTTATCTGTCCCATCACTTTGAGCTTATGTATGACTTTATAGTTGAAATGAGTCTCTTGTAAGCAGCTTATATTTGGGTCTTGTTTTTTATCCATTTACTACTCTATATATTTTAATTAGAGTATTTAATCCATTTCCACTTAAAGTAATTATTTATAGATAAAGACTTTATTTGCCATCTTATTAATTGTTTTCTGATTGGCTTATAGTTCCTTTGTTCCTTTCTTCCTCTTTTGATATCTTCCTTTGAGGTTTGATAATTTTCCATAGTGGTATGCTTTTATTCCTTTTTCTTTATCCTTTTTGTATTTGCTATAGGTTTTTGCTTTGTGGTTACCATGAGGATTACATAAAACATCTTATAGTTATAACAGTCTATTTTGAACTGCTAAAATCTTCATTCCAATCTAATACAAAAACTACACTTTTACTCCCCCCAACACATTTTATGTTTTGGTGTCACAATTTACATTTATTAGGTTGTGTAGCCATTATCATATTATTAGAGCTACAGTTATTTTTAATTCTCTTGTCTTTTAACCTGTACACTAGAGTTAAGTGACTTCCATACCACCATTACACTATTGGAGTATGCTGAATTTGACTCGATACTTATTTTTACAAGTGAGTTTTATACTTTTATGTTTTCATGTTACTAATTAGTGTCCTTTCATTTCAATTTGAAGAGCTCCCTTTAACATTTCTTGTAAGACAGGTCAAGTGATGATGAACTCTCTCTGCCTTTTTGACTGGGAAATTCTTTATCTCTCCTTCGTTTTTTAAGGACAGCTTTGTAGGGTAAAGTATTCTTAGCTGGCAAGTTTTTTTCTTTCAGCACTTTGAATATATCATCACATTCTTTGCTGGCCTGAAAGGTCTCTCCTGGGAAATCCTCTGATACCCTTATCTGGGTTCCCTTGTATGTGATAAGTTTCTTTTCTCTTGCTGCTTTAAAATTCTCTCTTTGTCTTTGATTTTTGACAGTTTTATTATAATGCGTCTCAGTGAAGACATCTTCGGGTTGAATCTGATTGGAGATAATGTCCATGTCTCTCCCCTGGTTTGGGAAGTTTTCAGTTATTATTTCTTTAAATAAACTTTCTGTCCCTTACTCCCTCTCATCTCCTTTTGAAATTCTCACAATTTGTAAATTATTTCTCTTGCTAATGTCCCAGACGTCATATAGGATTTCTTCACTCTTTTCAGTAATTTTTCTTCTTTGTCCTCTGATCAGGTCATTTCAAATGATGTTTCTTTGAGTTTACATATTCTTTTCCTTCTGCTTGGTCAAGTCTGATGTTGATACTCTATTGCATTTTTCATTTCATTCACTATAATCTTCAGCTCCAGAATTTCTGTTTGTTTCTTTTTTATGATTTCTGTCTCTCTGTTGAATGTCTCGTTTTGTTCACGTATTGTTTTCCTGATTTTGTTGAGTTGTCTATTTGTATTCTCTTGTAGCTCTCTGAGCTTCCTTAAGATGACCATTCTTAGTTCTTTGTCAGGTGATTTGTAGATCTCCGTATGTTTGAGGTTAGTTATGGGGAAATTATTGTGTTCCTTTAGTGAGGTTATGTTTCTTGATTTTCATCTTCCTTGAAGTCTTGCATTGCTATCTTCATATTTGAAGAAGCAGTTACCTCCTCCAATCTTTACTGACTGGTTTCAGCAGAGAAATACCACCACCAGTGATTCTGAGGCTTTCTCAGTCCTTTTCTATGGATGCACCACTCTACACTTCTTGTTCCCTCTTAGGGGGGAATTCTTAAGATTGTATGTCTTCTCTCAATCCTACAAAGCCAGACCTAGTGCTGAGAGCCTCCATTTGCTTTTGCTGGGGGTGCCCTGAAGTGCTCAAGTTTGCATGCTTTCTCCCAATCCAGCAGCATCAGGCTTGCTTTCTACACGTGCACACTAGCTCTCTGCAAAGGTTCACACTCGCCACCCTAAGGGGCACACACAGGCAGCCAGCCGCAGGGATGTGTAGGTGAGGCAGGCACAGAATTGGGAATGTCTGTGGGCCAGTTGGGGGCATCTGCATGCAAGATGTCCCCAGCAGCTTGTGGGTGGTCTTCCTGATAGAGTTCACAAAGCAGCTAGTAGGATCTATGCCCCTTTGGTGAGTTCTAGGCCCTGGCTGCTATGTTCCCCTCATCCCCCAGCCTCTCAGGCATGCAGATCACCTCAGTTTTCCTAGTGGGATGAGAAAAAAGTGGACTTCTTTGGCAACATACTGCACAGCTGGGGAAGCCACACGCACTCACTATGCTCTCCCTTTCCCCCATGGGAGAGATCTCAGGGTGAGGGGACCTCTCCTGGCACGGAGCTATGCCACCTTGGAGGAGGAGTGATGCAAGTAAAGTGAAATTGTTCTTCTTGCCTCTTCAATGCATCTGTTCTTGGATTTTTTCTTTTCTTTTTTCTTTTTTTTTTTTTTTTTTTTTGCTCCAAAGGTGTGGGAACTCCCAGGCTCCCACAAAAATATTCTTACCTATGAGTGTTTGTCAAAATCAATGCTCTGTAGGGGGATGACAATAGTAAACTTCTATTCCACCATCTTGCTGACATTACCTCCCACCAATTCTTCGTGTCACAGGATTGTTGTGAAGATAAAACTCTACAAAAAAGGTGAAAATTCTTTGTAAACATTAGAGTCTACACAAATATTTATTAGTAATGATAGGCATAAATACTCAAGGAAATAGTAAGACATCATAAGAACACATTGATTCGTTTCTCCCCTTTCACACCTTGATCTGAGACACAAGGGTGAGATCCACATAGGGAGAGGCTGCAGAGTGAGGCAATCTAAGGGGAAATCTATTGGATAACAGTGGTTATAGTTAACCTGGGGCCAGCCATTTTCAAATTTCTTAACAAGTAATATCTCATTTAATCCATTATCATTCTTCCCATCTTATGGAAGAGAAAACTAGACACAGAGTGGTTAAACAACTTTCTCAAGATGACCCAGCTAGTAAGAAGCAGGCTGCCAGAATTTGAACTCCTAACTCCCACACAAAGTTGCTTCTACAATAAGCAGAGATAGGCCTGAGGTCAGCACGGATGGAGGACCAAATACTGTATTTTTTTTGTAAAGTCCCCCCACCACCACCATACATAGTTGTATATTCCAGTTATGAGTGCCTCTGGCCGTGCTATGTGGGACGCCGCCTCAGCATGGCCTGATGAGCATTGCCGTGTCCGCGCCCAGGATCCGAACCGGAGAAACCCTGGGCCCCCAAAGTGAAGTGCATGAACCCAACCACTCAGACACAGGGCTAGCCCCTGTAATTTCTTTTTAAAGAGCCCTTTTCAGTTGACTCCTTTCCTTAAAATACCCTTGAGAGCTTGGGAGGCAAATAGGCTCCGCTAACTTGGCAGGCTTTTGTATAAGGAGAAAAGGTGGGTTTGAAGGTAACCCCATAATAAGAGGCACCAGAAGAGTTTCCTCTGTTTTTCATAATTTGCTAATTTACTCTAGTACAGATAATTGAGTCAACCATTCTCATTTTCCTAAACTTCTTTAAAACATCCTATGGGCCATTTTCAAACAGAAAAGAGAATTCAATATTGAAAAATAAACTGTTCTTTCTCCTGCTTAAAGAGCAAAAGCCTGGAGTATGGTTAGGGGGAAATGAAAACTGTGAAATCGTGCTTACTGTTTGAACAGTTGTTCCAATTAAAAAGCGCCCTGTGATTGGCGCCTGACTGGCCATTGCACACGGCAGACATAAAAGCTCTGCTGGGAGCACCCGTAGGGTCATTTTGGCAAGGCCCCCTCCTGGAGCCAATGATCAATAGGTATCCTTCACCTCTTTCAGAATACAGCAGGAAGTGAAGACACTGAAAAACAGCACCGCTTCCTCACCAAGATCACATTAACCCAACCACAGCTGTGCCACTGCCTGGTCCTAGGAAGGCTGCCCCCTGGGCTACCTCAGCTCTGGGCAGTGTGGTGGGGAGGTTTTGAATTGCTTCAGCCACAATCTGGGGGAGCACTTCAGGAGCTACCAGTACAGTCATTTTCTCTACTTTTCAGAGATCCCTTCCATGGATCAGTGGGTCATCAGGCATTTCGTGCCCAGGTATAAACAGACAGAGCCAATGTCTGAGGGAGGGATCCACATCACCAAGAACCCAGTGTTACAGCAAAGCTGAGTCCTCAGATAAAGGACTAAATCAAAAGCTTTCTAAAATTAATATGTGAAACCTTGATTTAACAGAATCTCAAAATTGAAAAAAACACCTAGAAAACAATCAAAAGTTGAATACAGAGAGTGCAGATCAGAAATAATACGGGGCTTTAAGCCCACTCATCAAAAGTGATTATAAATGTAAGACATGACTTAGTAGCTTCCTCACATTAAGAAGAGATCAAACTTGGATTCCTCTTGAAATGTGGAGGGAATGGCATTCCCCTCCCTCCATTCTCTGTCTGAGTCCTTTCTCTTCCTCCTTCCACAGATTATTTGTAAACTAGAGGACCCATAGATTGCAACCTTCAATTATGTTCTGGCCCTACAGTGTTTAGAAGGCAATAACTTCTGCATTCATTTACTAAGTGCTTAAGGTACCCTGACACCACACAATCTGAAAAATATTAAAACCACCTAAGGCCCTGGTGGGAAGAGAGGGAAGTCTATGTTTCCAACAGTTCCAGGACAGACGGGCTCAGGAAATCTTTACTAACTTCACTGTGATTTGTCTGCTCATGTCACATGAGCCACGATGCCCCATTTGCCTAGGATAATATTTTGAAACACTGATCTGCAATGATTTTGTGTCCCTGCATTTTGCCCTTTTTTCTTCCCTTAATTCAAGTAAGCAACTAAATTGTGCTCTTTGATCAAGATAAATATGGACAAAGGAGGAAAGCAGCCTGCAATCTTCCTATTGTCTTCCCAAGTCTAAGCCAAGAGGATTCTCAGACAACGACACTGTATCAACCAGAAATAGGAAGGCGAAGAGATTTCCCTGAGAAAGAAAAAAAAAAAAAGATTCCTCCTGAATAGAAAGAAAAGAGAAAGAGAGAGAAGGAAACAGACAGACAGACAGACAGACAGAGACAGAGAGACAGGGTTCCGTGAGCTCTGCTCTGGGGCCAGCAGGACCACTGGGGTAAGCAGCAAACCCCTGAGAGAAAACAGCCGCATGTGGTGGAGAGGCAGGCAGGAGCACAGGCAGCAAGAGATTCCGGAGGCTCAAGAGAACTTCTGGACTGACAAGTCCTAAGACAAGGATGACAAGTACCTTTTCAGTGAGCTATGTGAGAAAAGGCAAGCACCCCAGAGGCTCACCCCGCCCCCCACCCTCTGTGACTTGGCTGGCACTGTGGTAGACATTGGAGGATGCTCTCTCCTCCTCTGTCTCTCTCCCTCTGTCTCTCTCTAGCATGAGGTGAAGCTCTACTCCCTCCCTCCTACATGAGACACTTCGTCTATACCTACAAATCCTCTCCTAACTCTGGGGTTGAGTCTTGAGGAAGCGAAAGCCCGGAAGGGAAATCTTTGGCACCCATCCCTCTGCTGATTGGCCTGCTACATCCATCCCCTTAGACAATGAGCATGAAAGAGCACATTATCCATTGGACATTATCCATTTGACCCCTTCGAAGGAAAAAAAGGGGGTACAGGAAGAGTAAAAGTTATATATCACAGAATATCATCTCAGCCATGTGCTCTCTTAAATAAATATTTTATATCCTTACAAATAAAATGCACTTTTCATAAATGCTATTCCTGCCACCTCCAGTCCTCCCAGCCTCCAACGCCTACATAATTAGCATCTGGGGTAGAGGGCTATCTGCCCCAGGCTCCCTAAGTGTTGGGTAGGTAAAGCTCATGTGGCAAATTTCCCTGCTCCCCAGTATGTGTGTGTGTGTGTGTGTGTGTTGGGGATGGAGGAGGACCACCTGACACCCCTCTTTGGAGATTCTCCCTGTCAGCACAGATTCTCTACAACAGAGAGCTCAGCACAGCCACAGAAAACCTTGCCCCTGCCCACATAACCCTCTCGTGGATCTCGACGGAATGAGTGCTGAGCAACTGTCTTCGGCAAAATGCCTGGTCGGGTTGGTGAGGGAAGGTGGGATCCAACCCAAGTCTCCTCTTCATGCTCGAAGCCAACATCTTCCCCCAGCTTCGCCTGATCTCAATGATGAGGTAGAATGGCAAAAAATGAATGAAGAAAGCCCTCCCTCTCTGCTCACCTGCCCGCTAACGAAGCCACAGGTCCCTGTAGGAAGCAGCCCCCTTGGTTCTTTTAGAGGCTCACTGGGCGCGAGGGGAGCAGATGTCTGACGGACTAGGATTCTTCTACCGGAGCTCACTCCTCCATTGTCAAAACATGCCCGTTTCCTCAAAGTTTTACAACAATCACTGAAAGTTCCAGGAAAAACTATCTCTTTCTTCATTAAAAAAGACTCTTCATCTTTTCCAAGTTCTCTATAATAAATCCTATGCAGTTAAATGGATGGTTACCATTAAATTCATCCACTATTTAAGTTCAACATGGCTTGCCATCAGAATACTAAATGTGCTCGCTCAGATGCTGGGTTGTTATGAATTTCCACAATCATAAAAGAAAAGCATTTTTAAGTGATGGCACTCAGATTGCCAGATAATTTCAAATCAACATTTTAAAGTCAGAAAAATTCTGATTTGGAGTTAAAACATACAGGAGAAAAAAGAAGGAGGAAAATCTTCCTTACACATTCCCCAACCTCCTCTCCCCAAGCTTCTGCTCTAATTGCAAACACTGCTGTGAGGACTATCAATTGCAGACTTTCTTTCTCAACCAAAAACACTTTCAAGCCAAAGTAAAGTTAACTCAAGAGAGGGAGGGAAAAAAGGTTAACGACATTTCCTCTAATATTAAGAGTCATGTTGAGGACATACTTCCAAAAGCAGCTCCTACTCTGAACTCACTTACATCAATCAAGAGAAAAAAATGTTTGAAGTGCGACAGGCAAAATGCTTCCTCTCCTGTCTTCTTGCTGGTGTGCATGCGCCGGATCCTACCTCACACCAGCAAGTATGCGAAACAGCAAAACTCACGCAACACCACAGGGGATAAAACCAGATTTAAAGACAGGAGCAAATGAGGGGGAAAAAAGACACATGCAAGTAAGAAACATAAGATGAACCTGTGAACGAGATTATCGAAAAAGGAAGGAAGGAGGAAGGAAGGAAGGAAGGAAGGAAATGAAAGAAAGGCTACAGCTGGTTCATTTGCTAGAGGTGAGCCAAAACTGGGAATAATATCAGCCGCAGCAGGAAGGAAAGCATGCACAATTACTTGCTTCTCAGTGCCCATAAGATGAAACCCACCAACTCCCTAGCAGAGGAGCAGCTCCTCCTGATACAAAGAACACAGGGAGGTTTCCACGTGGATCGGAGAGGGAGGAAACTGGGTTGTAGTAAAGGTCACTCTCCGTGGCAGCCTTGCAGTAGATGTGACAATGCATCTCATAGGACTGTTTCGAACCCCCTCAAAGTAGTCGAGTGATGTGATATCAAAGTGCAAGGTGGCAAAAGCAACCCTATGGAGGAGATCAGAGATGGAGTGAGGTTCCTGTTCTCTGCTTACCGGGCATGAACCAGCAATCAAATTTTGAAAAGGACTGCAAATCCTTTGAGCAAACCTGCATACATACTCTTTCTTTCAACCAAGCTTTCAGGAAGTATTGAGCAATGGTGAGTCCCAGACGTCTCTTTCAAGTACCTAGATTGTTATTATTCTAGGCTGCAGCCCTATGCTTCAGTGGCCAGCCAAGCCAGAGGTAAGTGGTCATCTTCTTATGAAGTTGGGGTGCCTAAAGAGGACTTGACTCCAGGGCAATGGCACTTCGGCCCAGAGGTGGCCCAAGGAGGGGCTGAGTGCCGGCCCTCGAGCAGTGCTGCTACAACTACCTTTGTTTCAACCAGAGCACTGGAGTCTCTGACAGTGTCATGACCAACTCACCCAGAACAAAGTTAAACTACCATCTTCATTTGTGAGCTTGGAGATAACAAAACCCTCTTGGATAGATAGACACATAAATAAAAAGGAACTCTGCTGCCTGTCTATAAAAACCAAGAAATTGGGGGCTGGCCCTGTGGCCGAGTGGTTAAGTTCGCACACTCCGCTGCAGGCGGCCCAGTGTTTCGTTGGTTCGAATCCTGGGCGCGGACATGGCACTGCTCATCCAACCACGCTGAGGCAGCGTCCCACATACCACAACTAGAAGGACCCACAACGAAGAATATACAACTATGTACTGGGAGGCTTTGGGGAGAAAAAGGAAAAAATCAAATCTTAAAAAAAAAACAAGAAATTGATACATTTCATATCATTCTTCTTAGTAAACTTCAGGATTACAATATTCTTGACTCACTGCAGTGAATTTGCCAGAGATGCTAATTAAATTGAGGGTCATTTTAGGAATCAGTCCTCCAGGAAGCCTGCCCTGAATCCAAACGACAGGAACATCCTCATGTGTTCAAACAGCACGTGTACTGACCCTACCACAGCACTTATTACTCTGCCTGTAGTTGTCCACTTACTCCTGGTACCAGCGAGGATGCACTCTACCAGAAGTAATGGAGAATCTAACTAATAACGATTGAAACAATAGGAGCTTATTTTTCTCACATAACAGCAAGTCTAGAGATAAGAGATTGCTGGCACAGGTTCAGTTCAGGGGTGTCTCTGGGATTCTCTTGGCTTTCCCTCAAGGCCACCAGGTGTCTGCCAATGCTTCCTGTTCACATTGAAGGCAGGAAGAAGAGAGTAAAGAGAAGAGAAGATAAGGGGTGGTGCCATCAGTGTCATTTCATTTACCAGGACAACAGAAGTGTTTCCTGACAAGAAAACCTGCCAGAAAGTTTATCTTATGTTTCATTGGCCAGAATTGAGTCACATGGCCAGCTCTAGCTTCAGAGAAGGCTGAGCAAGTAGGTGACGTAGTCTAAGCCCTAGACTGATCATCATACACCATCTGGAACCGGGCACAGTACTGGGCAAGGAAGAAATGCAAAATAGATACCAGGTATGGAACTAAAAGACTTACGTTTATCTATTTCCTGAATTAGACGTTAGCTTCTTGAGGATGGAGTTTGTTTCTGTTTCGTTGTTTTATTCTGCAGAGCCTGGCATAGTGCCTGGCTCATAGCAAGTGTTCAGCAAGTAATTGTTCAATGGATGAAGGAAAGAAGGAAGAAATGAATGAAATATTATCTTCCCAGCTGTCCATCACCATAGTTCACACTTATATAAACATACAAGATAAATATATATACATACTTTGAACTCACTTGCATTCTGAGATCGAAAATATTCTAGTCCATTCTATTCCCACTTTAGGTACTCTGTAAATGCTGCTGTTGCTGATGATGGTGATGGTCAAAGTCTCTACAAGACGCTTCTCTGGGGAAGATCACAGTGCTGACATCAAAATATGGTAAACGTTAAAAATAGGAAGATTATTTTCATTGGTTCCATCAAAACACAAAGGCTTGTCCATTAAACATGACACTAAAGGAAACTCGTCCCTCTAAACCCAAAGAGAAATATGATCAGTGAGGTTCGTGTAACCAGTTCTTGCAAACTTAATGCTCTGAATAAATTGCTTGGGGAAAACTCCAAGCAGAAGAATTATCATCTGTCTCTGATAAAAGCAAAAAGAGTGTGTGACTACGAGACACAGAATTTGTGGAAGCAATCAATGAAATGCAAGGTTTAAATTGGATTTAAACAAGAGCTTGTGTAGATGCTGAAGGAGTGTTCTTTATGGATTTAATTAAAATGCTGCACATGAGACCTTTATAATGCTACTGTGCTGCAACTGTATTAAGATGCTCACATCAAAATATTTACATTTAAATATTTTATAATACCACCCTTTAAAATATTAATGATGCCACAAGTAATCTGTGACATTTCTACAGCCTTTTCTGTAGTAAGTTTGTAAGAAAACAGCAGAGTCTAATCGTGTTATCCCTAGTCAGCTGTTTGAAATTCAGTTTCGCAAACACACCAGCTTGCCCCTTTCTACAATTCTAATGAAAATTCTTCTAAGAACTTAACTTCTTGCTATTGCAATTTGTTCTTATTCTGTTCTAGATAGTGGCACTAGAGGGAAGAAAACGAACTGTTCTTGTGTCATTAAGTGCCACTGCTGAGTTTAAATGTGCTCCTTTTCAGAGAGAGAGATTTATGGAAAGGTTTCGTTTAAAATGTGAGAAAGACAACTGTAAAACATAACAAGTGAACAAGTCAACATTATTTCCTGTGTTCTACAGTTAAGAGATCTTCAGAGATACCTAAGTTGCTATTTGGAAAGAGAGAATGTCACAAAATGTTGCATTGTACATAACATGGCCTTTATAATGATAAGATTCTTTTGTTAACATGGTCTCCTCGAAAGCACCGGAGAACCGCTATTTCTCCATAGTCCCAGCTCTATCTCTTTTCCTCCTGCTGTTTTTATTTCTTGTCACTGACCAAAAAAGGCAACTGAGGAAGATATGATTCAAACTCTCATCTCTGTCGACAAGTCAAGCACAAGTTTGCTGTGATAATAAACATGGTGCAGACAATAAATGTTGGCAGCATCACCTTGGAATATGAGAGGTGATTATTCCATTCTTGCTCCCTAGAGAAAGCTAATTATTAGGGTTAATCACAAGGGAAGGTAATGATTAGAGGAATGGCAGCCAGGTGACAGGCTCTACAAAACCTGCCAACTCCAGCATAAATTTGCTAAGGGTATTCAGATGCGTCTGGCTATCGATTTTCTCTACTGCAAAAAAGAACACCGGATCATTGCATGATCTCTTGAGAAGTTTAAAACACATTATTCTGCCTTCACGTGTAGTTGGTCATGGAGGGTTAAAATAGTGATAGTCCTGGATTTTGGGTTGAGATAGGAAATAGCTATGTGAAGGTATAAATTCCTTGTGGCAGGGGATTTTCTGACTTGCAAATAAAGACCAAACGATGACCCACTCAGACATATAAAATATAACTGAAATCTCTTCTGGACAATTCACACCCATAATGGAGCAGGAAGTTACTATCTTTCTGATCTTCCTAAGTCAGTTCTCAAATGCTGTTTATAATTACCAACTGAACTAACTTCTTAACCCTCTGATGTTTCTGTTTATAGACTGCAGGTTTTCTCTCTCTCTCTCTTCCTAAAAAATGTAAACTTCTTAAAGATAATAATTTCTCTTCCCATTCTTGGAATTCAAAACTTTTATATACGTCTAACCACCCTGAAGATATTAGAGGAATGCATGTGTTCCTTCTTATAGAAGGAAATGTCTACAGCATTGCTTCAAAATACATTTAATCCATTTTTATTAGCAAGGGGATTTTAAATTTTTTTCTAAACATTTACATCATTGAAAACATTGGCAGCCTTGACTTTTTGAATCATATGATTTAAAATTGTAAGATAAAGGTCAGACACACCAATACAATAAAACTCATCAACATGTTATTTTAACTTTATTTCAGCTTTATTTATTGAGCCTTAAAAATAGAAGACATTACACAGAACATGCATGACTTTCTTCTCTATATTACAGAAATTTGCATTCTAAAGCCCAATGTCCCACAGCAATCACCGTCCAAGCACAAAAGCAGATTGCCTGAAATAACTGGACAGTTTAGCTGGATCAACCTGAATGCTTCTAGACAGCTGAATGACATTTCACTTAGCTTTAGATCTGAGGACCCCAATGAATAAAAAGCCTTCAAGGCAACAGGCACATTTCATTCTTCTCCCTCTAGCACAAAGCAATTTAATTCAAGAAATATTTAACAAGAATGTACTGTTATAAATGCTGTGGAGAACTTGAACAAAAGAAAGGTAGGTCCTTATCTTCAGGCAGCTTACAATTGAGTTGTATGGAGAAACCATACCTATTCATAAAATTGCTAAATAAAAATAACGTGAGTGTGGTAGGCAGAACTATAAGATGGCCCCCGTGATCTCCAGCTCCTCTTGTTAGTCCTGTGGTTACGTTGCATAGCAAAAGGGATTTTGCAGATATAATTAAGGTTACTAATCAGTTGACCTTAAGCTACAGAGATGATCCAAGCGAACCCAACGTAATCACACGAACCCTTTAAAAGCAGAAAAGAGTTTTCTCCAGCTAGTCCCAGAAAAGGAGTTCAGAAAGATTTAAAGAGTGAGAAGGATTTGACATGCAGTTGCTGACCTAGAGATGGAGAAGGCCAGGCAGCAAGAAATGCAAGCAGCCGCCTAGAAGCTGAGAGAGGCCTCCAGCTGATAGGCAATAAGGAAACAGTCCTACAACCCCAAGCAACTGCACTCCGCCAACAACTGGAATGAGCTTGGAAATAGATTCTTCATCAGTCTCCAGATTAGAGCTCAGACTGGCTGACACCTTGATTTCAGCCTTGTGAAACCCTAAGTAGAGAACCCAGCTGAGCCCATCCTTGTTTGCTGCAAGTATCATGCTTGTTCCTACCCCTGGGACCTTTGCACATTCTGTCCTTCTTGCCTCTTATGGCTTTCACTTTTTCTAACCATTCATCAACCCAAGACCCAACTCTTCACTGGAGCCTGCTCTGCCATCTCTGGTCTATAACACTATCTCTCATCAATGAATTACTGTTGAATTCAGTTATTTCTGAAAATTTTCCCACTGATTTCATTGTTTCATGTCCTCTCCTCTCTCAATCCCTGAGCTTGTAAACTCAATTCTCTTTTTGTGCCCCCAAATAATCAAATATATTACTAAATACTTTACTAATTAAAAATATGCCCTAGCTACTGTGTAGAGGAAGTTTTGAAAAAAATTAACAGATTTTTGTATTCATCTTACTTAAATCCAGTTAAGGCTATTTCTTTTTTCCCATCACACTCCTGCTAAACTCTTAAGCTTTCCTCCTTCTGAATCACAGTTTTAAAATAACTCTGCACAAGCAGCTTTATGTGTTCAGCGTTGACCACATATTCAGTTTCACTGAAGACACAGGAGGGTAAAATGCCCTTGCTGTAAAAACTTGCACACTCAGCTGATTCATAGCAAGAGTTGAACTATACCAGGGTGCTATTTTTAGCATTGCTACAACTACTTCTTCAGAAATTATTTCAGTGGCCTCATGTACGTCTCAAAATGTGAAGGCTTTAATGTATAAATATTATCTTTATGTTCTGTTGATATGCTGCTGCTGGTTGGGCAACCATCGGTTTATCTATGGTCATCTGAAACCATTGTCTGAAGCTGAAAAACCTTCTTTCTCTCTCTTTGTTGCAGTACTGTCCTCAAGTGATTGAGTGTTTTGTTTTCCCCTTTTAGTTCTTCACAAGATAAATATCTGAAGAAAAACAAGTGTCTCCAAAAAATGATTGTTGCAGAGGATATTTAAAAAGCAACGATTAGTATTCTTCCAAAAATGTTCAGAAATTTATATTTATATAACATCAATACAAACTCTCTTGCAAATGTGTTTGTGCCCCTGAAAGACTTCTACTCATCTCCTAAAAAGTATTTTTAAAGCATTTTTCCCTTTTTTTCCCCCATCCTCTACCATCCTTCCAGGAAGTTAACTTTACTCTAAAAGACCTTGCAGCAGTTGCCATATTCATAAAGATAAACCATTAAGAACAATCAAAAAGTAGGTGACTGCAATGTGACTTTTACAGAGGGAAGCCATGGATCACAGAAGATTTAGGTTTTAGTTCAGTTCTTCCACTTACAGCCAATGCTATATCTTCTCCTCCTGATCCCCAAATACCACATCTATAAAATGGAGGTAAACACGCATACCCAGAACAGATCATGGGATGACAGAAAGAATCAAATTATGCTAAATACATTTCACTTCCTTTAAAAGCAGCAAAACATTTTATAAATTCAATGTACCTAATTATTTGTAGATTGAGATTATAAATTATATACTATATGCATAAATAGCAAGGTCTCAAAATCTGATATTTTCTTCATGTCCAAGCCAGAAAGGATTTCAGTTTAACAAACATTTATTGACTAAAGAAATGTAAAATATCTAGCTCAACAGGATTAGTCTAACATAAAAATCTACTTCCTGATTTGAAATCTATGATAATTAGTCATATGTATTATTATGTATGCTAATTTAGCACTCAGCTACTAGGACAAGTGCTTCACACTCATTAGATTACAACAACCACAACCCTGGGAGGTAGGAATCATCCTCGTTCTACAGATGAGGTTCCTAAGGTTCAGAAAACAGGTTCAGAGACCATCAGGGACCTGTCAAAGTCA